TCAGTGGAAGATGAGGCAATACCCCAATAGTTTTATGGAATTTGAAATTCAAACTTATTAAACACAGAAAAATGCCATGTGAAAACACTATTCATTTATAACTGTTTTTTTTTAAATCTGCATCTTTTATCAGTCATAAAAAAGAAAATTGACAATTCATACATTAAATTAACCATGTGAAATTTATCCCATAATCTTAACCGTTGACATTTCTATTATAAGTATAATATCTTACGTAGATTCACTTTGTCCAGGACTCTCCCCACCTGTCACTACAGTCAGACAAAGTTTGACGTAAGTCCCACCAGGCTGTGCAACCAATAGTTCTGGTTTGCCTTCCTCTGATAAATTCACCGTTAGAGATCCTATCTACAAAGTACAGAAATTTCAAGAATAATCACAGTTACCACCATATATTATACTCGACTGAAATATTTTGACTAAGTGTGGATTTCACATGTTTCATATCCATAGCAGGAGACACTTACTTTGTGGACTCATCTAGTCGGGCCCCTTTTGGAGTTTGTAGGATTGACTCAGTTCTTTGTGGTTTTTTTCCTTGATTTTTTATCATCTTAACGGATTTATTAGATTTGAACGTCTGTTAACTAATTTTGCCTCTAATAGTCCATAAGAGTCCTTACCCATTAAACGTGTTTTCAGACTTGATACCATGTTCTGAAGCATATTCAGCATGCTTTTGTACCTTGACATCTTAAGGGGGAAAGGGTAGATTACAAATTTTAATAAAATTTAATGAATTAAAAAATCAACAAATATTGAGTGGAAAATTATTTATTTTGTATGACATTGCTGGCAACATTAACTTTCAATTTTATTACAGTATACTATAAATTCAAAAATTCTTGCCATGTTTTAATATTGTAGAAAATGTGATGGGCATTTACCTTATATCATCTTGCATTTCTGGCCAGTTATCAATAATTGCAAATATAAATTAACATAACTATTTCTTTATTTACATATGAACTTCAAATTGCTATAAAGAATTCAACAGAAGACAAGATAAACAAATTTAAGAGTGACTCAGTGTCTGCAAAATTTCAGAAATAGCATGCCTAATTTCTTACATTCTATAAAGATTCATTTATATCACTTGTGTCAATTAGATTTTTTTTTTATTCAGAAAATATAAATTTAAAGTTGACAAAATAAACTCAATTAGTTACAAAAACAAATGTATATAGTCTGACAGATAATGTTCATGTTTTCAGTTTTAAAAACATGCATTTTTCTTTTCCAGATTGATATGAAAGGTGTAATGATAAGTAATATATCAACTAATTATGCAATTGAAATGTCAAATGAATCCAAATCTGCTTCAATAAAGAGCAAACGGGAAACCACCAGACTGGTACCATTTTTACCATTCATACCTGCCCACTCAGCTGCCATTGAGAAATCTGTATCAGGTTACCAGTACTACTTCCTACTTCTAACATATCACTGGCACTATCTTGTTTCCATCTAAAACATCTGACAACTCTATCTGCGTAAGCTACAACTATTTCTATTTGTCCATCTCCATCTACAATCAACACAAACCATTTATAAGATTATTACCTTAACATTTTTACAATATAAAAAGAAGGAGATATTGGATCATAGCCAATGAGACAGCTATTCAAGTATGTAGTAAACAATGGGTTCACTGCATATTCATAGGCGGATCCAGGGGTGGGGCCTGGAGGCCCGGCCCCCCTTTTGTTGGAAAAATTTGGGTTTTTTTATAGGGAATCACTGAAGCATGACTGGAGCTGGCCCCCCCCTTACAAAAAGTTCTGGATCCGCCACTGATAATCTGTTCCTTTTTGCAAAGGGTAGGAAAGAAAATGTCAAAAACTTTTATAACTTACCTTAATCTAATATAAAAACCCACAGAAAACTTTAAAAAATCAAAGCGCGAAAGCGCTGTAAAGGCAGTTAATTACAGGTTGTGTGTATTTTTAGTCCAGTTATATCATTATCTTGCATAGTACATTGTACTTATCAGAGGTGGCTTTCAGTATTTAAGATTTAGAGTTCTCTAATGATATTGAACAAGTTTTATGAATGTCATATTCTGAGCACTATATGAAGGCGATTGTTCTCACTTGTTTATGAACTAGTGCATTATGTCCAGTTTGTACCTTTTCTATCTATGTTTATAGTCAAATACTGTTTAAAATAGTTTGGCATTTTCTTTTTAGTAATAAGTAAATGTTATCAACTGTATTTTATTCAACTTCGCAAATGTGGTTTGTTACTGGTAGGTACAATGTATGGATGATAGTTGTTTCATTGGCAATCATAACACATCTCCTTATTTATATAAAATGATCTATATTCAAGGACCTCAGGTACAAAAAAAATGTATGTAACTAAACTATGATGGGAAACCTTTGACTTCTTTCTTTTATATAAACTTTTGATTTGGTACCATAGAACTATGTAGAATAAATGTACATTGCAACATGTCAACTCTTTCAATGACAATATTTTTTTTAGAAACTATAACTCCAAGCAAAATTATATTTCCAAGTATAAAGTAATTTATGAATGAGACAAGAGTGCACACGCTGAAATGTCTCGCCATCTTTACTAATCATTGATATTATGTTGATAGTCCTAAATATAAAGCTTTATTACAACTGTCACATAAACTTAGCATTAACCAAGTAAACTAAACATTGACCAATGAACCAAGAAAATGAGGTCAAGGTCAGATGAACCATGCTAGGCAGGCATGTACAGCTAACAATTCTTCCATACAACAAATATAGTTGACCTATTGCTTATAGTTTAAGAAAAACAGACCAAAACACAAAAACTTAAAACTGAGCAATGAACCTTGAAAATGAGGTCAAGGTAAAAAAAAACCTGCGTGACTGACAAATAGATCATAAAATATTTCCATACACCAAATATAGTTGAACTATTGCATATAGTATTAGAAAAAAAGACCAAAACTCAAAAACTTAACTTTGACCACTGAACCATGAAAATGAGGTCAAGTCAGATGACACCTGCCAGTTAGACATGTACACCATACAATCATTCCATACACCAAATATAGTAGACCTATTGCATACAGTATAAGAAAAACAGACCAAAACACAAAAACTTAACTATAACCACTGAACCATGAAAATGAGGTCAAGGTCAGATAACATCTTCTAGTTGGACAGTCCTTCCATACACCAAATATACTAGACCTATTGCTTATAGTATCTGAGATATGGACTTGACCACCAAAACTTAAACTTGTTCACTGATCCATGAAATGAGGTCGAGGTCAAGTGAAAACTGTCTGACGGGCAAGAGGACCTTGCAAGGTACGCACATACCAAATATAGTTATCCTATTACTTATAATAAGAGAGAATTTAACATTACAAAAAATCTCAACTTTTTTTTCAAGTAGTAACTGAACCATGAAAATGAGGTCAAGGACATTGGACATGTGACTGATGGAAACTTCGTAACATGAGGCATCCATATACAAAGTATGAAGCATCCAGACCTTCCACCTTCTAAAATATAAAGCTTTTAAGAAGTTAGTTAACGCCGCCGCCTGATCACTATCCCTACATGTATGTCGAGCTTTCTGCGTTAAAAGTCACAGGCTCGACAAAAAGGAGTTCTTAATTAAGAAATAAACTGATTCGCTGAGCGAAGCTGGATACACCTGCAGAGGTCCAACCCTGAACAGTTGGGGCAAAAATGGACACAATATTCAAGCTTGATACAGGTCTGAATTTGGATTGTAATTAAATATTTGACATATTATAGTTTCTGAATAAATGTAGTCAAAGAACTTGAAATTGGTTATATGAATTGAATTTATATTCAATTAAAGATTTCTTGCTGTTGTGCAATACACTGTGCTGTTGCGCAATACTTAATAAATCTGTTGCCAGACTATAAACAAATAAAGTTCAATTTCTTCTCAATGTCATATTTGAAATTTAGGAAAATCAATAGGGAGATTACATCAATAGCTATAAATAATTCACCAAAGTTTCATGAGAACTGCTTAAAGCATTTTTGAGTTGTTGTCCAAAAACTGGAAAATCCCCCCTTTTTTAATGAATAAAACCCCATAACTAAGAAATGTAAAATCTAAAATTTATAAAATTCTAAAGGGAGCTCACGGATTGATAATTTAGTCTTAGATGCAAGATTTTTTTATCAGTTGTTAGTGGCTTTGAACTAGCTGTCAGTAAATGCGAGTACTCTCAGATCTGTACTTAGTGTCTTTTTGTTGTTTGGATGTACATCTACCCGGCCACGTCCACTTGTATTTGTATTTATCCATCTGATGAGTTAAGCCTCTTTCAACTAATTTTTTATCGTTCGTTCTTATATTGTACTGTTACACCACTGTCCCAGGTTAGGGGGTGGGTTGGGATCCCGCTAACATGTTAAACCCCGCCACATTCTGTATGTACACGTATGTGCCTGTCCCAAGCCAGGAGCCTGTAATTCAGTCGTTGTCATTTGTTGATGTGTTGCATATTTGTTATTCTTTCATTTTTTGTACATAAATTAGGCCGTTAGTTTTCTTGTTTGAATTGTTTTACATTGTCATTTCGGGGCCTTTTATAGCTCACTGTGCGGTATGTGCTTTGCTCATTGTTGAAGGCCGTACTGTGACCTATAGCTGTTAATTTCTGTGTCATTTGGTCTCTTGTGGAGAGTTGTCTCATTGGCAATCATACCACATCTTCTTTTTTATATTTACATCAACAGATATAAACAATTCACCAAAGTCAAACTTAGTTGTAAGATCTCTGAAATTTTTTACACAGTACAAGTTTTTCTAATTGTTGGAGATTGTACGGTGACAGTAACACCTGTAACGGCTTAACCCATTTCTTATGCACTTTGGTTCGATAAACTCACTGAATATCATACCACATCTCCTTATTTTTATATGCATTACAATTTACATGTGCATGTAATTGTAAATAATATTTATATATATATATCAGAACAAACTTCATTGTGTCACTTTTATTTATGCATCCTTTGGCACAATATAAGTTCTAAAATTACACAACATAAAACAACTAAATGTTATTTCAGATGAAAGTTTTGTTTCAGTTCCATTCATAGGATTTATTAGAATTTTGTATGTTTTGCCAAGTCCAATAATTAGCTCTATGTGCACGTGTTAATTGGAGACTTTTCTATCCGGCCCTGTATACATGGTATAAGAGTTTTGGAACTAATTTTGTTTCTTTTTTTGAAAAAAGTGAGCAAACAAATCTTGCACATTTAAACCTTTGTCTGCCATCACACTGTCACCTGGATCACATAAATGAACTATTCTACATCTTTCAACTATTTCACAGTCACTGGTACAACCAACATATGCATTAGAGACATAGTTGACTAAACCACCAGGTGTCGAACATACAAGTATTTTCAGTGACTGAGTGTTTCTGTTTTTATATGATGAAAAGGTTGCCTGAGCTCTAGGTTTTATCACGGGATATTCTGTGCTGTCAATAATAATCCAAGTTGTAGGAAACTTTAATTTGAAGTTGGATGGCGAAAAATACCTGACTAAACCACTTAATGGCCAAGTGTTAGCCTCACGCCACTGTTTAGACATAAAAACAATCCATGTTTACACAATATTCTTAACACTAGTTTCAATCTAGAATCTAGACAGTTCAAAGTTGGTTGTATAATGCCTCAATTTCATCAAAGTCATAAAAAAAATGATTTTCAAATGACACCCTATCAATTTGAAAATATATGTATCTCAAACAATGTGCTGCTGGACCAAGTGTGGTGAAAACAAATAAAAATTTAGTATACAACTCTAAACCGGTATAAAAATGCATGGCTGTGTCACGTGTCTTCATTTCAAAATTCTCTGCAAAAATATAGGCATTGATGGTGTTTGCGTAATTCCATCTGTGAAGCTCAGCATTAGCTCGGCAGTTGGTGGTGGACAGTCATAAATCCTGTCTGCAGTATGAATGACTTCTTTAGGAAAACCAACTTTACAATCAAAACTTTCCTCTAGATTTCTACTACAATATTCATCAAGTTTAGTTCTTTCGTTTTCACAGGAAACTGCCCTGATTTTTCTTTTTGCGGACGATTCAGTCTCTTGCTTAATCCAGGAAAATAGGCTGGGAATGGCAGAAGACTTAAGTCTCTGTATGGTGGGTTTGCGCCCTGAAAAAGGTTATAAAACATTAGTTTTTTGATAATTAAATGAACTTCCATTAGCAATGCATACTTTGTACTACCTGGCAAAATATTAACTAGATTTATTCATTACAATCTGGATAAAACTATGTTAGCTTGAATCAATGTACATCACAATGTATGTTATGTAAATCCAAAGTAAGTAAGTAAAACTTTATTTTGATAACTTAAGCTCTAATGAGGACAAACAATGAGAGACGTATGCAACAAACATACATTGTTTGTACCTAAATAACTATAATATAGATGAGAGCATGTCATTGTTTTGTTCCTGTTAACATTGTCATTGATATTTTTCAAGAAAGTCTATGAGGCATAGCTTATGCATTCCTGTCATTACTACATTAGCATAATTACTGCTAAAATAATTCTCAGTATGATATACCTCTTATAAGAAATCATTATAATTGTAGCAAGCACCAAAAAATCTCAAACAGATCACATTGAATCGTAATCCAAAAAATTATGACGTCTTGAATTAACCACCCCCTTTTATTCTAAAACAATAATTGCGGTTGTAAACAAACTTTGGTTTATTCGCATGGCGATTACATATATAACTATATATTTTAAAAAGAAAATAGAGTTTTACCATGAATAGTTTCCTGCACGTAGTCTTTTTCAGTAAAATGTGCCTTGCAAACAACAGCTGATTGAGATGGACTCCACGATTTCATCGTGTTCTCGTCCAATCTGCGTATGGGCCATGGCGTTGATCCAACTTTTCCTTCTTTTTAAGTCATTTGGAAATGCATGTCCTCCTCTTGAATGACATCCAGGTACACAACAACATGTACTTGGCATCGTTAATTAAAAATGCAACTGTAATAGTTGCACAGTGCAGAAACCGGAAGTTGAAGAACAGGATCGGCTACCACGGCGCCACCTATTCAGGAACGATAATTTGCTACTTTATATAACCGCGAAATAACAATTACGTTAGACGGGTTCGCGTGCATAAACAGAAATGCGCTTTAAATTGTATAATATAATTCATGTTCAGTCGACCTTTAATTATTATATCAACGACTGAAATGATTTATAAACATCTAGATTGCAGATAACACTCGAAATTAACCCGACCTCTTTCCACACGGAATTCAAATCATTCTAGTTTGTCAATCGGTTGACTGCTTATAATGTAAAATACAAATATATCAAAAGTTTTTAAAACTAACAAAACACAATGATCTTTTCTCTATTTCCCAATGTAAATGAAATGAAACAAAAAACATTTTATATCACAATAAGAAGAGGAGAGAATCAACATTTTCCGGATCTACTTGGAGCCTAATGACCCCCCACGTAGATAAGTTGGATATCGCGGAAAGAAAGATTAACACGGCAACTAGAAAGGCATTAAAGCACTGCCTTTAAAAACCAACAGAAAAAACAAAAAAAAACGAAAAGAAAGTTTACTTACTTTAATTTTGTATATCTTACCTACATCTGCTATTAACAAAGACTTTCCATTAGCTGGTAAATGTTGAGTATAGTGTGGCTTTAGAATAATTTTATTTTCATCTTCTGCATCTGTTTCAGTCTACAATATGAAAATAAAATATACAATTCAGAATGAATTAGGTCAAATGGGAGGTCTTTACAAAATAGGATGTTAGTTATATGTAAATGAGACAACAACTCAATGAAAAAAAAACAGAAAGATCAAATTATGGTCTTCAACAGCCATTGACTATATCTTTCTCTTTTAAATTCGAGTCTAGAACAAATAAAAATGAATCAAACAAAGACAATAAAAAATCTGCCATCAATCCAAATTCAAATAGCAAAAAATACAAAAAAGTTTCACTAACAAAATACAACCATTGACAAGGTAACTGACTTAGGGCAGGCACATGAACATTTGGCAGGGTTAAGGATGTTCGCTACTCTTGTTTTTGACTTTTCGTCAGATATTCAGAATCCTCTAGTTTTATCCATGTAATGCCAATAAATGTTTTGCCCACTGATCCCTACTTTCTTTTTATATTTTTATTACATATATTTTAAAAAGCCATTTTTGAAAATCTTATAAAATCCTTGTTATTTTTTCATAGTTTTTGAAAGAAAAAAGGTGCCAATGTTAAATGTATGAAAAATCTAGAGAGAATCATTTCCCGCCAAAATTTCGATTGATTATATATCAAAAACAAGGACACGAACCTGTCCTTATTTTCTACTTTTTAAGTTCCGTTATTCATATACTACCCATTTATGACAGTCTTTTAAAAAGCTTGTTATTTTGAAACAGAGGAGCGAACATCCTTAAACTAGTTTTTTCAGATCTACTTTAACTAGCTATAGTATTACCACTCTTCTTGTCAAAATGCATGTACCATCAGGAATTCCCTAATCCTTTGTCTCTATTGTTTTTGTTTATTTTGAAATTTGCATTTTACGTCAAATTTTCATTGGTCTCTCGTAAATACATTTTCATCTTTAAACTTGAGTTCTGTGTTATTTGTACTTATATTGATAGCATACATTTATACTGCCATGTGGTTTAAGAGCTTGTACATAAATGAAAATCATTTGATGACTTGTAGTGACTTTTTTTGCAGAAGTCATGTTATTTTTTTTTAAAGATCTTTGTGCAAAACTTCCAGAATATAAGTCTACTGTCTAGTTCTCTCACAAAGATTAGATACCAAGGGAAAGATTTCAATCCTTGTTCTTATTATATTTGCCTTAAAATCTCAGCTTTTTAAAGGAAAAGGAGTAAGTTTGGTAAGGGCCATATTTGGTCCCGATTATTAATTTCAATGTTTTATGATAACAAATGCTTTAAGTTGATGAAAAGACACTTGAGAAGGTTAAATAGAACTATTTTTGTCAAAGTTTTATTATAAGGCGTTGATTTTTACACCCAAAATAGGTTAAAAACAGATTTTTGCAAAATAAGACAAAATCGTCTGGATTTCAACCAAATTAAGACACAGGAAACAAGGAGTGCAGGCTTCGACAAACTAAATATTCAAGTCATATATATAAAATGTCATTACAAACATTATGTTAAAAGATTTTTTTTAAGCGACACATGCGCTCTATGTTTCTTGTCAAAAAATCAAAGTTAATTTACCTGTTTTCATCGAATTTTGGCGGAAAATCAAAATGAGATCTATTTGAGACATCATGAATAGAAAGAAAGTACGTGAATTTTCAACAAAAAGACAAGACGTATGTCCTATTTAGTCATTGTATTAGCTATGATTTATGACATAGGTCAATAAATCCTAATTTCAAATTTAAGCTAGAATTAGGGGCCATTTTAGGACCTTATAGAACCTACTCCTTTAATTTTCTCATCTCAAATCTTTATTTGGGCATTCAGAGATCTCCAATACATAACTTTATGGTTTACTCTACTGTGTAAGCAATGTCAGACTGACAGTCACAAAATGATAGACATTTTTTTTTTAATTTCACCAAAATTTGTAACAACAAATGAAACTAGATCTATAGCAAATGGGAAGTAGGTAGCCCTTACATTTTCAAGTAGTTGTCCTTGAATACAGTACTAACCTTACTTTCATCTTTCTTTACTTCAGCTACGACTTCAAATAAGTAACACCATCCCTCTGCTGTCAGGGCTAGTAATGTATTCTGGAAATATAAGAAAAGTTTTACAACTGGAGATCAATCATTGTTTGATTTGATTGTACAGTATTAGAAATGGACCTGTGGAAGTAGGGCAAATTAACATACACATACAGTACACACAGGTGAAGTCAAAATTAAACTAGATGGTGATCACAGTAAATGATGGTGACAGTAGGTGATTCTCACTAGTTAAGTTCGCTGTTTTAGCCTTAGAATGGGCAGTGAAATCTTCCTTGTGTTTAAAGTTCTTGTTTCACTTTCCAGTACAAATCATTAAAATGGACTGTGAAATATGTGTGTAGGGGAAATCTTTATCTAAAATGCATGTGGCAAAATTAGGAAAGATTAGACTCACATTGGAAACTTTCAAGATGTACAGGACATACTCAATAGCTATTATGTGGCAGTGCCATAAATCAATTGGTACTCAATTTAAATAATCTACGCACTCCCAATTCACTCAACACCAGCAAAAGTGATCTTTCATTAATTCACCTTGTGTGTACTGTACCATCAATTGAAGTTTGCTGATTCTTTTATGCAAATTCTGGATAATTAGATATAAGAAGATGTGGTATGAATGCCAATGAGACAACTCTCCATCCAAGTCATAATTTGTAAAAGTAAACCATTATAGGTCAAAGTACAGCCTTCAACACGGAGCCTTGGCCTTGGCTCACACCGAACAGCAACCTTTAAAGGGCCCCAAAAATTACTAGTGTAAAACCATTCAAACAGGAAAACCAACGGTCTAATCTATATAAAAAACGAGAAACAAGAAACACTTATGAACCACATCAACAAACGACAACCACTGAACATCAGGTTCCTGACTTAGGACAGGTACAAACAAATGCAGAGGGTTTAAACGTTTTAATAGGTGCCAATCTTTACCCTAACCTGAAACAATAGTGTAACATCACAACATAGAAAGACACACTATAAAATATCAGTTGAAATGGCTTAACTCAATCAAAAGACACACCAACAAAAACAAGTGGACATACACCGAACGAATAAATTTGATCTATGACACAACGTAAGAACACAAGAACACAATAAGAACGCATAAAACAATTTATCAATTAGGTAGGCCCTGTAAAGTTGAACAGGAAGAATAAAGGTTCAAAGATTTGGACTGCCATTGGAAAAAAAGAGCATGTTGGATAGGTACAAACATTTTGCCTTATAATGGGTCATTCTAAATCTCCTCCAAAAGAAGGGGGAATTAATCAGATTTGTGATCACCATTCCAACTTTACATGGCCCCTTAAACGCACATAAACAGACAATCAGCATGGGCCCTTAGACAACAAATCTTTACTATGTCTTTTCTGTAGATTTAAAATCACCAGTTTATATGGTATTAAAAAGAAATCAAAAGAAGTTACAAACAGAATAGCTTTTCAGAAAAATCTTGATGCATAGTATGACAGCATAATTTTGGCAAGTGTTAAAAAAATCATAATTCATAATTTGGTTAATTGTATACATTTGTACTAACCTTTCCTTTGTTGCAAACATCACCAATACCAATACAGGTTAACTGAAAGAAATAAAAAACATGTCATAACAAATGTGGTGATGTTGTTAGATGTTTCATTGTGATCTGCTGTAAATTTTCAACATATTGCTATAAAAATTGTGTCTGTCTTTTATATCTTAGATTGTACTGTTTTTGTCCTTTAAAAAATTTCATGTTGATGACAGATTTTTGTTAGTATCTACTATCTGTAAAATTTGTCCACTTGTCTACTCAAGTGATGATTCTTAGCTTGACATATGGTATATACTTTATAACATTGTCAGGATGCCATCACACTGAAGAATACCCCTCTGGGCCCTCCCCCTTGGCTAATAACATAATATTGTCTTTACTATATGTACCATGCTAACTCTGATCATGTATCCCTTACTGTAATGAGCAATGAAATGTTGAATATCTCTTACTTACATTTAATCTGTATATATGCTGATAGGAAAGCATAAATAATTTTATTGGAGGATTAAGATTTATTCATTAGAGGTGGCATAATCATTTAGGTACCTTTAAAGTAAGGGTTTTTGCTTCACTGAAGACCTTACATTGACACCTTTTGGTTATTTAACAGAAAGGTGTTAAACAGAGTCTACAAAACATGCTGCTTACTTCAGCTTTTTCATGTTTTATGTGTTTGTGTGTTTGATTTGCTTGTCACTCATTTTTTTTATACTCATTCCACATTTCTTAATGCAACTAAAGTATACATTTTTACATGATATATATGTAAAACATTTATATCATGTAAAAATGTATATTGTAGTTGAATGAGTATAAAAAAAAATGTAAAAGCTCAACCTGCATACTGTAGACATGGAAGATTAGTTTACAAGATTTCATGAGCAAACATTTAGCATGGGTTTAAATTTGCACATTTAAAATTTTCAGAACTATGTTGTCTTTATTTATATACATATCATAGATAAATGACAACATTTCACATGTGAACTATTAAGTCAAATATTTATTAATCATGAAATAAGCCAAAATACCGCAATGAGAAAAATTGTATGCTTACAATACTAAATTCTCAGGTAGAACTTTGTATTTTGCTTTTATTATGATAGTAAATGTTTCAACAATATGCTTTGCAAATGCCATTATAATATTGCCATTGTGTGCTGTATGGTGTGGTGTTGAATTGTTATCAATCAATCTACTTGGTGTATTCTTACCATGCCTAGATCTGAACATTTCTTCCATGGTGATGAGTATGTTCCTCTGAAGATATGAAGATCTCC